ATTAGAAGAAAGTTTCGTCCTGTCTTTCCTCATAGCATACGGAATTCCTTTTGTACAAACATACTCATGATTTAGCAAAAATGAGGGCCTATTTTTTCCAATAACTTTAAATAAGAGGGCAGTTTTCCAAACCAAAGCCCTTCTTATTATTAATCCACTCAGTTGATTAAAATAACATGTCCAGATATACGCTAAATCACCAAGTAAATTTCGTCCTGAAATTCGTTTGCAGGATTCGCGGAACTGTAAGAGTATGGTGCATTTCGTCTCAGCTAAGGAAATATCAAAATTTACAGCCAACGACATTGCAGTATTGGCAAGGTCGGCGCAGGGGTTGCAATGATAGCTGATTAGACACACTTACACCATTCGGTAGCGAAGACGATTTGGGCTTTACAGCTTCTGCCAAAAAGAGGATTTTCTTTCCGTCAGGCGAGAAACTGCAAGAACTGAAGGGCACAGATGCAGCACCTTCGGCACAAACACGACCGTGCAGGGGCTCGTCCTTATCGGTCTTTTCGGTGGGAAGTTGGATGGTCTTGAGATGGCGCCCATCAGAAAATATGTGCACAAAAGTTCCCGCCTTGGGGGCCGTGGCCTTCATTGCCGCAGTATCACTCAGACCCTTGGCTGACAGCTCGTACTGCACAAAAAGGGCTCTACGAGTGGAGGTGCAGTCACCGGTAGAACCACACCATTCAATATCCCACAGCTGCTTACAGCCCTCGGAATGGGGAAAACAGGATCCGATAGACGAAAAGTTTTGCGCTCCGGAGAATATCAGGTCAAACGAAGACCTTTCAATGAGGTATTCCTGTAGGACGGAGATACGATCCTGGCGAAGACTATCCACTTGACTCCATTTGGCCTGCAGCGCGATCAGAGAGGTTGACTTCCGCTGTGAGAATGGAGTGTTGCGAATACGAGCCTGACTAAGGGTAGGTAGACAGGCGAAATAGGAGAAGATTTTGGAAGATTGTTTGGCCAACTTCTGGACATCCATCGTTTTTATCCACTAAAAGACGAATAAAAGACGCATTGACACAAAGATGTAGAATGGCATTGTCAGAAAAACAATACAGATGCTGTAAATGCTAGCAGATAATTTTTATGAGCAAAAGGGACGCAGGTCTGTGGGGTCCGAACACGCCAGTTTCGCAATTGGAAATGGTCAGAAATGCAGGTGTGAAGTCGAATGTTCTCTTTTTATTTAAACAGAGTCAAAGGAACAGATAAATTACGAAAATTCGGGGACACTACTAGGCTGACTTTTGTGCACGATCCACATTACGGCTAGGCACAACACTCTTCCAGCAACCAAGTTCTCTGCTGCTAATAAGTCAGTGTCGAGGTCAGAAAATGGGAACCTGAACTATGTCGAGTGAATGCATACATTACACATAGTCACACTGGAGCGACAGGAGAGTATACATGGAAGAGGGGACTCCCTTTTCATAGTGTTTCAGAAGAGGCGTCACAGGCTTTTCAGGAGAATTTGGTCGTTTTCCCCTGGTGCTACTTTGAACTCAGCGAACGTCTATAATTGCTGAGCAGTTTGAATTAAGGAATCACATTACCGATACACAGAATAAGAGACTATAAATCCTGTCTTTAAGTACTGTTCCATGCCGTCTACACGGCCGACTGGGGGTTACGGGACAATATATGCGGTCCAAAAGACACGAAAAGAGGCAAAAATCGTCCACTTTCACTTGAAGCAGCCTGAAAGTAGACGCGGGCCATCCGACCTGAGGAAGCATCTACTTTTCGCACTGGGAGTAACTGTAATGAACTGCACCTGTCCAAGCGCTGCTTTGGGCACAACTTCACCCCCAACACCGTTCTCCGGCCTCATCCAGCAAGAACATTACTCAAGTGGTTAACGAGTGCTTGATAACGTGTTCTTTAGGAGATGTGGGAGTGACAAGGGCCAGACATACGCAGCATCATATTTTCTATCCGCTGATTCTCATGACTTGTCTGTGTAAAGTCTTATTCGCTATGCAGGACCTCACTGTCCTGTACGTTGTGATCGTCTGTAATAAAAGCACTGGAGGGACACCCAAAGATCCCATTAGTATTATTTATAAAAAGGCGAAAGGAATATACTGCCTATTAACTGATGTCACGCCTACAATCCTTCTTCATTTCCCACAGTGCTTTACGACACCTTAGTAAAGGATCAAATCGTAAATATCCAGCCAATGTTTCTCTATCTACTTACGGGTTGTATTCGAAGACATATGATAGCGATAATTTTTGTCAAGAACACTATGATTCGGACTTCTCGGCAGACGTGTCTGGCTGCGGTCCGCATTCAAGAGGCGTGTGTAGGGTGTGTTCTGTTTAGGAGTTCATGACGGCCAATTGAATAACGTCAACGTGTCACTTGAAGTGAAATATTCTACTTCTAGAATGTTCTCGTCTCCTCGAACTACAAAGTTGGGTGTAAACGTATGCCGGCCGTTCTTCCACTTTCCAACAACATCAGAAAGGTTGACTAAAACTACATTTTGTTTTCAAATTGCGCTGTATACCCCTGAAAATCTTCCTCTGTCGCTGAACGACTGTTCTCCGATCACTGTGCACGGAAACGGCCGCCTCTTTTGACTTGGACAAGACCTCATAGATATTTATATAACCGTTAGAATGTCTATAGAGAATCCGTCCCCGAAGAAACAAAGAAGTTTTAACCGGACAGCTGTATTCAAGCTGAAAATTCCGTTATTCCAACTGGAAGTAAGGTATGACTGGGTGCCGACGGCTTACAAGCCGGAAACGGTAATTACAGTCTGTCCTATCTTTGTTGGCAGGCCTTCCTATAGCGTGCTTTGTTGAGTTGGATGTGATGGGCAAGAAAGGTTGGCAAATATCCTGATCTTACCGTTTTCGGTATGAATGGTCCTTAATGTAGCAACGCCACCTGACATTATGAGCATTGATTTACAATACGTTCACCGTATGCTTTAAACAGTTTGGTGAACTGTCTTGTAGCAACTAATTTAACAACGGAGAAGGCCACAAGGAAAGAAAGCCCCAACTAAATCGAACACGGGAATACCTAGGTGGTCGCAATATGGAGGATTTTACGCAGCTCGTTGTCTATGCGATTTTCGACGACAACATTGCTGTGGCAATAAATTTCGAGGGATGACCTATGTTGTTCTAAACTGTATAACTTGATTACAGTTAAGTTAATACATATCTTTCAAAGAGCGGTGGTTGCCTACATCTTTTTGAGTCGGAATATGCCTTCATAAGACCTTTAAAATATCATCGGACGCCGCGGGGAGGCGAGTGCAAAGACGTCTGGCAGTAAATGCATTTAACAGTTAGTCGATTAGAGTTACATTTAAGCTGTGCCCAACTTGAAGAGGACGTCGCTTAATCGCATGCGGTCACTCCCAAACCACACAAAGGCAATGCGAATGCTTTCTGACTAGGTTTTACCCCCAGCCCCCCGCCCACTAAATCACGAAAATATTATTTTTCGCACTTAAATAAAAATATTCAAAAACATCTCTACTACATGTTAGAAGGCGAACGGCTGTCACAGTAAGTTAGATCATTTTGCGTATAAGGTACCAGAATCCCTTTTCGCGTATGTCGCTGAATCTTCACATTTCGGTTTAGGTTATATATCTACAGCAGCCAAAATCGATATCCAGTCGGTATACTTACCTCAACATGTAGATATCCACGCAATATTAACTGAATATAGACACACTGTTGAGGAAACCATATTGAAATAGGCATGGCTGTGGAATATGCACATAAGTATGTGCTGTACAAATTCCAGAAATGGAACTAGCACACAACGGGGCCCTGAATATTAGCCATACCGTAAAATACACGAACGACCAAGTTACAAAACCCGGAGCTGAGAGCGGTTTGTGGGCCAAGAAAACATACATAATCGACTGAGTAGCCACCTGGCGGTTAAGAAATATTCTCACGAGAGAATTCAGAAAGAGCATTCCAACGCTTTCGATAACTTCTCATCAGGCTAGTACATTAATACGGAAACCGGGTTGAGCAAAACATGTCAGTGGTTAGAGGAATCGACCAACTTTCGTCTTAAAAAACAAACGGGTGGAAGTATTAAGAGGCAACGGAACCTATCCAGACAGAGCGGAAGGGCGCGGAGCTTGTACGGAATATTTCCACGCACACATGAACGGCTTTCGTAACATGACGGCAAACTCTGCCGCTTTTGCGAGCAGCCGTTGAATAAACAGCCTAAAGTAATTCGGTAACACCTTATAAATCATGCATCCGATGGACAGGACCAACAACTCATGCGAGTATGGCGCTGTTTATGCTCCCAAATACAGTCTTATCCAGCCATGTGGGGAAGCGTTCTAGTATTCTTGTAGATAGGCGCTGACTTTTGCAGCCAATATAACCTTTGAAAAGTCGTGTTGGCAAACAGCTGTTTTCGGTCATTCACTTCAGG